CTCTCTCTCTGTGTGTGACTATCATAAATAAATAAAAATTTAAAAAAATAACTTTAAAAAAATAGGAATTTGGGGCACACATAGGCATGGGGGGAGAAGACAGTGTGAAGACACAGGGTGAAGATGCCATCTATAAGGTGAAGAGAGGGGCCTGGAACAAACTCCACCCTTGTAGCCCTCAGAAGGAACCAACCCTACTAACATCCCGATTCTTCTGGCCTCCAGAACAAGAGGAAGCTGTGGAAGCTGTGGAAGCCCTTCAGCGTATGGTAGGTACTTTGCTATGGCTCACTGATGGGGGCAGAGCAGGGACGACCCCCAGCAGGAACAGGTGAATGTGGGGGTGCATGTGATGCTTCCCTGGGGTGGGGGCAGGAGAGCCGTGGGGAATCTGAATACCCAATCAGCAGAATCAGATATCTCATTAGTACTGAGACCCTCCCTCGTGGGGCCACCCTGGTGAGGTCTGGGCGGACATCGTACCATAAGAGTGCAGCAAGGCCATGGCCTTCCGGGAGGGAGGAGCCCGACCTGTGTGCAGGAACCCTGGCTGGGTGTTAGTGGGGCACCTCTAGGAAGGAGACACCAAGACAGGATCGGATGTGAAAGAAATGTATGAAGGAAATGCCTATGAATGGAAACGGGGTGGTGGACGGGGAAGGACGGGAGAGCTGTCAGACTGGTGTTCAAGCCTGACCTTGAGGGAAGGACAGAGGGAAGGAAGGAAGCAGGGAGGAAGAGGGAGAGAGAGGCGGGGGAGGTCTGGTTGGATGGAATCCTCTTGCACAGCCCTTGGGGGCGTCCTCTGCACAGAATCAGCCATCAGAGCAGTCCGCGTCCCCCAGGACGGGGGCAGCCTTGGCACCCCTGCCACACTCCGTCAGTGGCTGTGAGCTTGGCTTGGGGTGGGGAACGTGAGGATGGATTTCGGAGTGTGGCAGCCTGGGCTCGCCCTCCCCTTGCCCCCTGACCCCTGCCATGCCTCATGGGCACAGATGCAAGCCCTGCGTACTTGGCCACCGCGCTGGGCGGCCAGGAAGGAGGCTGGAGCTGCTGTAGAGAACCAGGAAGACACCCTGGGCTCGGGGGGCTAAATGGCAGGCCAGCATGCAAGGCCGATGGTGTAAGGTGACGCCCCAGACCCTCCATGGACAGTTCTACTCCTTTTTTTCAATACTGTGTCTTTTAAAAAGAATATATTATTACTATTTTTCTAGGAATCTCTATGCCCAATGTGAGGCTCAAACTCACAACCCCGGGATCAAGGGATCAACACGCTCTACCAATGGAGCCCAGAAGCCAGGCGCCCCTTTTTGTGGACATTTCTCCCGTAGCTTCCAGTGAGCTTGAACATTCTTTCTTTTCCCTGTGGCTGCCGGCCACTTAGAGGTTGCACCTTGTGACCGGCCTCCCCGTGTCCTTTCTGTGCTTCCTACTGAGGAGTTACCATTTTTCTCGTTGATTTTCACCAAACAACTGTTGTATCACGGGTATTTCCCCTGGTTGTTTGGAAGCCTCTGAATCATGTAAGGGGTCTGAATTCTAACCCGGAAACCCAAGTGTGCAGGAAACACAACTAAATTTACTTTCTGTAACAGAACTTAATTTCTTTTTCAGGTTCCTGTTTGGGCCAAATGGTGGAAAATGTCTGAGTCATCTGGGGAAGGCCCCCCCACCCCGGCCCTTTCTCCCAGCACGGCCTCCAAGGCCTTGGGGTTACAGAGTGCCAAGGTAGTGGCGCTGGGCATCTGTCGGCACCATCCTTGCCGATCCGCTGGTGTCTACTGTCCTTGTCTCCATCTGACTCCTGTCCCTGCCCTGCCATGATCTCCCAGTCTTCAGGCTTACCGGGTCACTCTGTGCCCTCTTGCCACCCCCCTCCCCCCGGGAATCAGCCTATGGCCCCCTAGGCTACACCACAGCTGGGGGAGAGCAGGGGACCCATTTGGCTTAGACACACCCATCCCTGACCTACCAGGGAAGTCCCTGACTCCTTTCCTGGGTTTAGCTAAGAAATACACCCCAGGATGCCCCCCACTTCCGGGTCCTTCAAGCTCACCTGCAGGTTCTCACGTTCCCACACAGGTCCGCCTTACTTGCCTTCCCCCCTCCCCATAACCTCCTTCCTCCAACCCCGAGTCCCACGTGGGTTAGGACTGTGTGAACGTTGAGTCTGGGCAGGAAGACTGGCTGGGCGGTCATGCACCTTTTCCAGACTAACTGGCTGTGTCCTGAGGGTTTCTGGAAACCTCAAAGCCAAGCATTGAGTTCTTCATCGTTATTTCTGAAGGCGACCTGTCCCAAAGCATGGAGAGAAAGGGCAGTGAGAAACACCTGGGAAAGAGAGAACAGGGCACTCTGCCCCAGGTGCACCCATGATGTCTTCTGTTTAAAACTGTTAAATAAAATGGAGCAATAGACTTGTTAAAAGACGCAGATGTTTAAAATACGCGTAGCCACCCGATAGCTTCGTGTTTTCCTTTGTTCCCTTCAATTTCCTTCTTTGCTTCAAAAACTTATGCACATTTTGAAACCAGTAACCACAGACCCGTATCCTCTTCTGGTTGTTACGAGTTCATGCGTAGTTCACTCGTCAATAGGCCAATAAATGAATCCGAGGTAGTGCCCTGCTCTTGCTACTCTCCCAAACTGCCTCCACCTAAGGGGACCAAATCACAGCCTCAGAACTGGACAGAGCCTCATGGGTCCCCTGGTCCCATCACCCACCCCGAGTAGGGATCCCCCTCTACGGCATCTCTCCAGCCCTGGGGAACTGACTCCTTCAAAGCACCCTTACGCGGTACCACTGACCGATAGAAAGCTTTCTCGTCTAAATAAGCTCAGATCTGGCTCCTGCTTCAGGCCTGGAGAACCCCACGGTGTGGTTGCCCAGGACAGTCATCACCCTGGAGATGGTGCCGTGCCCACCACCCCCTCCCTTTCCTAGTGAACAGCCTTGCTAGAGCTGCTCTACATACCCTTGCTTCCCAGCACCCCTGGCTCCCCTTCCAGGCCGTGTCTTCTGCTGAATTTGCTGGGCTTGTCCTCGTGCCCCTGAGGCTTACACGGTGATCCCCTGACACGTCTGCACTAGCCCAGCACCCGGGCCTGTGATACTGAAAGCTTGGGAGTCGATCAATTATCCCAGCCTTGGCTCATCTTTGTTATATAAACTGACACCTCTCCCAGCCTGCCCCGCACCTGCTGACCTTTTGTACTAAAATTCAGCGACAGCAGAGGGTAGAGCAGCCGAGTTCTGGGATCAGGCTAGAGCCAGGCCAAATATAGCTCAGCCACTTATTTAACCCGAGGGAAGGCCCGTGTAACCATGGATAGCTTACATAACCTCTGTCAGCTTTGGGGACCTCATTTATAAAGAGCAGTTAACGCTGGTACCTGTTCTTGAGGGCCTCGGGAGGATTAAGAAGTAATGTAAAGTCCTACCACGCGCAGGTTAGTAAGGAAGCTGTAAACGAGAGCTGTGCTTATTGTTGTCAAGCACCTAAGACTGTAGCGCTTATTTTAATTGGAGGAAAAGGAAAACACTCCTCGTCCGTGATGGGCAATCTCGATTAGAAGGCAGGCAATGAAAAAAAAAAAAGAAAGAAAGAAAAAGAAGGCAGGCAATGTCGATTCACAGGGGACTCGTTCTAATGGAGTAGCGAGCGGTGTTAATATTAGTAAGGAGGGACGGAGGATCAAGCCAATGGATTCAAGAAACTTACCCAGGTCAACAGGAGAAGCAGACCAAATAAGGAAAAGGAGACTGCAGAATGGCAGGCTTTCTGCCTCCTGCAACCACGGGGCAGAGAGCCCAGAGTTCAGACGGGGTCTGGCCAAGCAGCGTTTTAGTCTTGGCAAAGGCTCAAGTCCCACTCCTAGGGAGCCTGGCAGCGGGGCTTCTCCTTAGCATAATGATGCCACTCAGTAGATGGTAAACAAAGGTGGGAGTGAAGCACACCCAAAGGCCAACACGGGCTGTGCCTGAGAACCCATTGGGTCCTGCCCCCTAGCTCCTTTTCCCGTTGACTCTAGGCAGGGGCTATGTGATGAATAAGCTCGGTGCAGGTTGCTCCCTTGTACTAGTGGAAACTATCCCTGCAGGGTTGGAAGGCGATGGTAGGTTCTCTAGGGCAAGGAGGCCTGGCTGGGGCCGGGGACAGTGCAAGCTTTGGAGCCAGCCCGACTTAGGTTCAAATCCAGCTCGGTCATCTGGGATCCGTGTGGCCTGGGGCAAATCACAGGCTCTCCCTGGCCTTGGAGCTGGCATCCAACACACGGGGACCACAGCCTGTCATTTGCAAAATTACCACAAGGACTAGATGGGACGGTGGCTCTAGGTCACTAGGCTAGCTGGAAAAAAGGCCGCCTAGAGAGAACGACGCCTGGCCTAATCCATCTGAGAGTTGCTGCTTGGAGCCCACCAACTCTTGAAGGAAGACGCACAGCCCAGCAGAACTGGGAAACATTTCAGACTCCACATTGCTGTGGCTTTGGACAAAATCGCTTACCCTCTCTGGGTCCCCATTCCTTCGTTTGTAAGATAACTTTTACTGTTCAGGGTCCTCCTGAAGACTGGGGCGATGACTGGCAAGTGCTTAATGCAGAGCCTGGCATGGAGTCACATAGTGAGGCATCATCCCTTCCCAGAGGCCACGGAGATGCCCCGGCCCTGCTCAGGCCCACCGTCCTGAGGACTTCCTCCCAGCTCCTCTCTCACAGCCTGAATTATATGCACCCTCAGAGGAATGAGACAAAAATAGCCAGCCCACTGCACATCTTCACCAAGACAGGGCAGCTCTGTCTCCTGGGGCCAGTTCTTTCCATCTCTGCCCCTGAGGTCTTTGCCAAGAGCAAGTGATGACACAAGCCCACTGAGACAGCAGATCAATGAGTGTCTGTGTGTGAAGCAAAGGGGTCAGAGCCGGCCTTTTTAGGACCCTGGCTGGAGGTGTATGAATTATCTGTTGCTGCCTAGAAAGCAACCCCAATACCGAGGAGGGGCTTAAAAGAACAAAAATTTATTTTCTCACTTTCTGGGGGGCAGATTCCAGGTGTGGTTTAGTTGCATGCCTCTGGCCCTCACATCTCACAATTGCAATAGGGCCATTGACTGGAAGGACAGTCACCCCAAGGCTCCACTGGATCTGTTGGATCTGCTTCCAAGCCTCTTCACATGGCTGTTGGCAGGCTGCACATGATCCACATCCAGATCCCTCACGTAGTTGCTAGCCAGCCTTGGTGGCTCACCACGGGGCCTCCAGAGGCTGCCTGAGTGTCACAGCATGGTAGCTGGGGAAGAGAGAGAGAGAAAGCCCAAGTCAGAAACCACAGACGCTTTGTACCCTAGTCTTGGAAGTGACATATTCTGTTCCCTGGGAGGGAGTCATTAGGTCCAGCTCACATCCAAGGTGATGCCTCCACAGGGGCGGGCATGGGGAAAAAGGCGGAAAGAAGAAAAAAAAATCATAACATTTTTTTGAGAGTGGAAAGAACCCAAGCCCAGTGAGCCCAGCTCAAATGCTGCATGTTCTGTGTAGCCCTGGGCTGCCTGCCACCCCGCAACTTAAGAGTCCCAGCCTCTAAAGTCTTCCATCCACTGAGCTAACAGACCAGCCCAGCCAGCCTCACGGGCTGTTCCGTGGATCAAAAGATCCAGTGGCTATGGATACACTTAAGGAAGCCCCTACACATGGAATGCCAGTCTTGGGCAGATGGTAGTAAAAAAGCAAAACAAAAACAAAAACAAAAACAAACAAACAAAAAACAACACTCCTTGGGGCACCTGGGTGGCTCAGTCAGTTAAGCAGCTGACCCTTGATTTCGGTTCAGGTCCTGATCTCAAGGTCCTGGGAGGGAGCCCCGCACCAGGCTTGGCCCTCAGTGCAGAGCCTGCTCCAGATTCTCTTTTCCTCTCCCTCTGTCCCTCTCCCATGAATGCTGGCTCTCCCTCCCTCTCTCTCTAATACATAAATAAATAAAATCTTAAAAAAAAAAACCCACTCATAAACCGGCCATGGGCACACCTTAGGGCACATATCCGCAGGGCACAGTATCATTCCCTCAAGATCACCCTTTCCACCCTGGCTGTGAGTCCTCGGCTGGCTGGGCTAGGTGGGGTGCATGCATCCATCCACCGAGGTCCCCGTGTGTCCAAAGCCCTTCACCAAGTCCTGCCCCTTAACACGGACCCTTCTGTGACAGTAGCAGCCCCTCTTTACAGATGAGGACACTGAGGTCCCAAAAAGCCAGAGACGACCTCCCTGAGCTCATCCCCTACACGTGCTTTGGTCCGAGGGTTTCCTCCCGGGTCAGGCCACGCGGACCCCTCTCATAAAGCAGCCCCGCCCCAGCCCCTGCCCAGCGCAGCACCTTACTTCGGCGTGTGTGACAAGTACCACCGTCCAAGAGCATCTTCCTTCTCCTTTGCTTCTTTTTTTTTAATTGTTGTACCCTCTTTTCCCCGTGAAAACATGCGTTTACTTTTCTGTCCAATGACCCCCGTGTCTCTAAGCCCTAGAGGAGTGGCAGGTGCACAGCAGGGGTGCAGAGCAAAGCTGTGGAGTGAATGCGTGAAGTGGGGGGCCGGGTTTCCAGCAGACTTCTGCTGTCTCAAAACCCACACTTGGAGGCCCCGGGGCTGGCAGACAGCCGCCCCTTCCCCGGAGCCTGCCTCCGCGGGGCTGCCCAACTTCTCCCTTTGGGGGCAGCTTCTCAGGAAGGCCTCCTCAGCCCCCAGGGCCACCCGGCTCACGCGCGGCCTGCAGATGTATTCAGCAAGTAAGCTCCCACCCTCCTTGCCCCGTGACCCGCAGGGGAGCTGGGGCTGGGTCGGCTCCCAGGGGCCCACAGCACCCACACACGCCACCCCACGAGCCCGGCTCTGGAGAGGGGAGTCTCCCCAGCCCTTCCTCTTGGGCCTCCCTCTGGTCACTGTCTACCCACCCACAACCACCAGCACCCAGGCCTGGAGGGAAACCTCCCTGCCCCCCCCCCACTTCCCATCATGCTCTGCCACAGCGTGCTGGGGAACTGAGCGGCCCAGTGGTTCCCGGAAGCCCAGAGAGGCTGCTGGCTTCCAGCTGCTCCCTGAAGGCTGGGAATGCCCGAGGGAGGACCCAGAGTGCAGCCCTCCCCGTGGCCTGCTGGCAGGGTCCGACTCGCTTCCTGAGCTCTCAGCCAAGGCCTCCTCTCCCGGGCTCCCCGTCAGCCCCCATGACTGGTACCATCCTGGACCCCAGGCCCCCCAGTGGAACCAAGAGACATGAAGGCCCAGGCCTCCTTCTACCTACGGCACACTGTGCAGTGACTGATACTGGCAATGATCGCTCATGGAGGACCCCCCCTTACCCACATCAGGGCCAATTCCCTCCCAGCCCCTCCTGGAAGGGTCTCCAGGGGCACCGCAATTGCATCCCTCACGACAGCCACAATATGCACCCCTGCCACGCACCCCGGCTACTTGGGAGAGGCCTACTCAGTGGCACCCAAAACAGCCTGTCCCAGACTCCGTCCTGTATCCCCAGGGCAAAGCTCAGGCCGGACACGTAACAGGTTCTCTGAAAACATGTCTGCTGAGCGAGGCGAGTCTTGCAGAAAGGGTCCTGGCAACGGTGAAGAGAGGGCTTCGTCCCCAGTCCTGGAACTTCCAGGCTGTGTGACCACGGGCAAGTCCCTGTCCCTCTCTGGGCTTCAGTTCTCTCATCCGGATAGCGGAGATCAGAACTTGCAAATTACTGGCCCAGAGGTACCATCTGCGTTGTGGATATGGTGTTTGTGGCTCGTTCAGTGTTTAATTTTATTTTAAAATTCTCAATGTTTAAAAATTGGGAGATTCCCATAAAACCTGAGGTTTTCAGCTTTTATTGAAAAAGGAGAAGATCTTGGCTCTACTGGGTCCCTAGTCACACACACAGTTGGCTGGCCGGGGCAGCAGCGCAGTGGGGTGTGGACACAGCGCAGCACCCCCTCACTCCCTAGACCTCGCCCAGTATGCTTCACTTGTGTGTGTCACTGCCCAGCCCCCGCAGGCATCCGAATTTGTCACCCCTGAATGTCAGCATCACCTGTCTGTTCTTTGGCTCTATGACACCTAAAGGAATCCTACGGGATCCCCAGGTGACAAAAACCATTAACACCCTGGATGAGAAGCCACTTCAGCTGAGTGGAGAGAAACTGCTGTTTCTGAGGATGACACAGAGTCTATAAATAGCCTCGGAGCCAGGTGAGTATGGACACCTACCCAGTCTCACCTGGGCCGCGAGTCCCAGAGGGCGGGGCATGCTTCCGTTCACGGCTCAGCCCAGGGATTGTCCCTCTTCCTGATGCCGCTGAGGACAGTACAGGTAGGGATGACTTCACAGTTCAGCCTGTGGAGAAGGTGGAAATTTTCTCTGGCTTGGGCAGGAAGCAGTGATGACATTTGATTTTCCAAACAGGGTAGGAGTAACATGAGTGAATGAGGCCAGTTCCCAGTCTGGGTCCTGGGGATGGGGCCACTGCACCATCAGTGGCTCCTCTGGGCTACCCAACAACGTTAGACCTCAGCCCGGCCTCCAGGACCCCCCTGTGATTGCCCCCTACTCACAGCCCAGCCTTTCAGCTTATGGTCAATATTGCATCACAGCCCTTCCTTGAAGGTAGCCCAGGCTGGCTCTGGCTCACTCCCCCTCTGGAAGCTTCTCTCCATCTTTGAGTCTCTGCCCCTCAAATGTGGTTGTCTCCAGGCTGATCCCCCAGGCAGAAGCCACCTGCTCTGTCCCTTGAGTTCCACAGTCTTCTCTGGCTAACTCCTCAGCTTCTCTCCTACTGCTTGTCCCTCTTACCCCCGCCACCCCATTTACCAGCCCCATGATGGCAGCAAGAAGGGCCTAGTCTATGCAAGGACTCAGACAGAGTCCTCCCCGTTCCAACACTCCAGCCCTGGGCAATTCACCCTCCCATCTCTTAGGGCTTTCCTTCCCCATCTATGAAATGGAACTGCCTCCCAAGCTATGATGGGAAGCAGAAAAAAAAAGGGCTGGGCAGGGGCTCTGAGAATGAAAAGGGTTGAGTGAACGATGGCAGCTCTTCCCTGGGTTAGGGCTGCTCATGCTTCCCTGGGGTGGGGGATAAATGGAGGCCCTCCAGGAGCAGGCTTGGAGGACAACGGGGTAGCACTAATCCACCAGCATAGCTACGGGCTGTGTGAGCTGAGGACCTGGAATGGACACTGGGGTGAGTCCTCTCTTCGTCTTTCAAATCTATAGTATGTAGTGATACAGCAGGGATCTGGGAGATTGCTGAGGGCCTGGATGGGGCACGGAACAAGCCAGCTCCCTACTCAGGCCTGTCCTACTTTAGGGCACGATAGTCATGAGAAAGGAGGAGCCATTCCCCAGGACCGAGTGAGGCTTCATCCTGGGCTGGAACCTGGGAAGCCTCCGGGCTCCAGGATACAGCTGAAGCATCACTGAGTGACCAGGGTCCTCTTGGATCAGGATTAGGGAAAGGGACTGTAAACTTCCAGAAAAGGGCCAAGCCAAAACTTTCATGAGCCTAGAACCTCATGAATTTCCTTGGGCCAGGATTTTGCCATCTGACTCCTTTCCAGGAGCTGACTCAGGTCCCAGGTCAAGCCCACCTGACTCCAAGGTCCAGCCTCCACCCTCTTCTTGGGCCCCTTGGACCTCGGAGCCCCGGCAGCTGAGACCCACTGCTGTCTGAGCCCTAAAGCTGAAGTAAAGATGGTCTAGACCCTGTCCATTGCTGATGCACAGTACCTAACAGTTGACACACTCCTCTCTGTCTTGTTCATTTTATCCTTGAAACACACCTGGAAACAAGCAGGGTCAGGATTACCATTATATCCTTATTCTCCAGAGGGGAAACTGAGTCTCAGAAAGGTCTGAGAAGACTGGCACAGGCTGGCAGGGGAAGATCCAGGCTGCTCCTGGCCCTGGGCCGTGCCTTCCTCAGTATGGGTCCTTGTTTCCCATTTGGAGAGTTCAGGTCGCCGAGATGCTCTCCTGGGGCCCCTATTATTTACTCACTGTGGGCCTCCCACACCTACCAGGTTTCTATGAAGCCCCCCTCAACCTGTGGGATAAATCCTTTTCACCATGGTCCTCAGTTCCCCTTCTCTTCCTGCCTTGCCTTTTCACTTTTCCTTGCATTCCCTATGAAATGGGCCCTGTGCTGTTACCTGCAGGTGTGTTCTTGGGGTGACAGTGGTGGGAGGGAAGCCAGCAGCTGCCAGCTGACCCAGTTGCTGGGGACCAGGCCTGTCTGTCCATGGGATTGGGGAAGGGGCATCAGACTCACCCCTGGTGGAGGGCTGGGGCCTGGCCAGAGCCTGCTGGGCACCTGCTGAGTTCCAGCGATGTGGAAAGAGGATGTGGTGTCTAGAGGCATCCGGGGACAGGGCCAGACTAGGACTAGGAGGCCTGTGGTCGCCAGGGGAGGCGTCACTCTAATCCCCCTCTCATCTCCTCCTCCTCTGTCTCTCACTCACGTCTCTCTTGGTCTCTCTGTCTGCAGGGCCTAAGGGGGGAGAGGAGGCCTACACGGAGGGCTCAAATGTAGATTTTTGTTATATTCAAATAAAAACATATGGCTGCTCATATTTTGGAGCTGACCGCGTTTTAGCACAGTTTCCCGCTTTCTTTTTTTTGTTTTAGTGTGTCGGGGCCCTTGCAGAGTGGAACCGGCCCCCTTTTGCCAGGTCGTGCATGCGTGTCCCCACTGTCCCTGGCCTTGGGGGGCGCCCCAGCCGCCGGGCTGCGCTGCCCGCCGGGGCCGCCAGGGGTCGCCCGCGGCCAGGCCCGGGCGGGGGCGGGGCCTCGGGGAGAGGGGCGGGGCCTCGGGGCCGGCCCGGCCCTTAAAGCGGCGGCGCGCGGCGGGGCTGCGTCTGCCTCCTGGTCGCGCGCGTCCGCGGCCGCCGTGGCCCCGGTGCCCCGGTGCCCCGGTGCCCCCGCGCCCCCCGCGCCCTCCGCTCCCGCCGCCCGCCCGCCGCGACCCCGACCGCGATGCTGGCGCTCCGCCGCGGCCCCCGCCTGCTCGGCCTGCTCCGGGGCCCGCGCGCCGCCCCGCCGCGCCTCCCCGCCGCCCGGGCCTGCAGCGGCGGCGCCCGCGACCCGCCGTCTTCCTCGGGGAACCCGCTCGTGTACCTGGACGTGGGCGCCGACGGCCTGCCCCTCGGCCGCGTGGTGCTGGAGGTGAGCGCCCTGCCTGCCCCGGGCCGCCCCCGGCGACCTCGCCCCCGCCCCGGCCGCGGGCCTGTGTCCGCGTCCCTAGGCGGAGGCCTCCGAGGGGGTCTCGGGGTCTCGGCACCGCGGGGGCGCGGGGCGGGCGAGCTCAAGGTCAAGGTCAGGTCGGGCAGGTCGCGGGCGGGGAGAGCCCGGCCTGCAGGCGGGCGGCGGGGCCGGGGGACGTCACCCCGACACAGGCTGGGGGCTCGGGGCGCCCCCGCGGGCGGCGGGCGGGCGGGCGGGCGCTCACGTGGCGGCCCTGGCGGAACCCGGAGCCCGCCCCCGCCCCTCGGTGGGACCCGCCCGCCTGCGGGCACCCGGGAGGGGCGGGGCGGGGCGGGGGCGAGGGGAGGCGGTAGGAGGGGAGGGGTTGGGGGAGCGGGCAGGAGCTGGGGGGGAGGGGGTTAGGGGCGGGCCGCCGCGGAGGGCCCCCCTGCCCTTCACCCCAGCCCCCCCCACCGGCTCCCGACTCACAAGGTAAGACCCGGAACGGAGGGCGGGGAGCGCAGGTGGGGCCCTCAAGGAGCTCCCTTTCATACGGAGACGCCTCCGTCGGGCCCACCCTCCTTGCTCCCGTCCATTTGAGCGGTTCCCGCCTGGGTTCTGGAAGCTGGGAGGCAAGAGCCGGGCTTACCCCGCACACTCCCCTGCCTCTCTCCAAGCCTGTTTCGCTTCAAGGCCTGGGGGCGCTTGGACTGGCTCCTGGGGGGGCCAGAGCCCCCACCCCCTCCCGGTGTGCTGGGGGCCCAGCTGCAGAGCTGCACCAGTTCCATCCCCTGGGAGCAGGCCCCCTGGGAGCAGGCCCCCTGGGAGCAGGCCGGGGTGGCACCGTCTTCTCTAGCCACAGATAAGGAACCCGCGGCTGCCTCCTCCCAGCCTGGGTGCAGGAAATGACCGGCCAGAGGAAGGCTGGGAGCACCGCCCATGGAAGGGGCTCTTGGGCCACTGGGGTTGGGTGGTGAGGAGGTTCCTCCGTCACCTGCCTCCGGACTGACCACCTATTCGTGTCCCTGGTCTCTCCCCACAGCTGAAGGCCGATGTTGTCCCAAAGACGGCAGGTAAGACGGGGTTTGGGGCCCTTCTGAGTCTGGTCTAGATGGAAGAGAGGGGCCAGGTGGGGAGGATGGCGAGAGGAGTCGGGCACAGAGACCCAGCACCAGATGGGCGCTCCAGAGAACGTGAAGCTCGGCCGCTGGGTACCCGGGCAGCTCTGCGCCCCTCTGCCCTGCAGTCCAAAACAGCCTCTCAACCGGTAGAAACACCTGTAAATTTCCATGGGGACATCTTCCTCCCTCCCGGTGCCCGATGGGGCAGGGTGGTGGCTCCGTGGCCCAGGGACTCCATGCGGGGAGCGTGTGCTTGGACACCAGGACACTGAGCTTTGAGAACATGACCTGCCCCGGGTCGCCCAGCCAGAGCAGGCCCCGGGGAGCGGGAGTGGGGGTGGGAGGGGGAAGGGGTGCTGGCTAGAAGGAGGCGCGCCCCTCAGCCTGGCCCTGCTGACCTGCCTCTTCCTTCAACCCTCAGAGAACTTCAGAGCCCTGTGTACCGGGGAGAAGGGCTTCGGCTACAAAGGTTCTAGCTTCCACAGAGTGATTCCGTCCTTCATGTGCCAGGTACTGCGGCCCTGTCTGCCTCGGTGCCTCCTCTGTGAAGTGGGGGGTGATGATGGCTGGGACAACCTTGTACGGTGGTTGTGAGGCCACCTGGGTGCGAGGAGATGCCAGATGGACGGGGCGGGTGACTGTCTGGGCCTGTCTTCTCGCCCAGAGTCGGTGGAGCTCGTGTGGGCGGCTGTAGCTTCCCTGCCCTGGCAGTTGAGCGACAGGATGGCCTGGCTGGTGGGGCTGTGGGGGGCGAGCGGACACAGAGGTCCCGATGTGCATAGGGACGGGTGGGGGGGGTGACGGTCAGGCTTTGGAGGACCACGTCCCCCGTGTGTCCCACTGAGTGCTTGGCGTGCTTGGAGTGGGAGAGGGGGAGGAGGAGGGAGCGAGAGAGACAGCACTGACAAGAACACACAGGTCTGGACCCAGAACTTCGACACCAGGGCCTCTTTCTCAGTTACGTGAATGTTCTTCATTCACGTGTGCTGCATATTTTTCAAAAACACTAGTATCGCTGTGTCAGAAGTTTTGGGATAGAAGTGGACAGCGAGAACTTTCCGGGGGTCAGGACCCCGCTGACAGGGCTTGGTGTCTTGAGGCCAGCAGACCGTAGAGGCAGGGCATGAGTGTCATGACCTCTGTGAGACCTGCCAGCCCGGAACGTTCTCTCCCCCATTCCCTCCACTCAGACCTAGGGCCGCCCTCATATTGTGAGGGGCGGTGGGCTGGGGCTGGACCTGGGCCTGCTGACGGGGCGAATGAGGTGAATGCAGGGGCGGGAGGGGAGGCTGTGGCAACGTGGACAGGTCTGGCCAAGCCTGTGGCTCTCTGCTGCCCCCAGCTCTGCCCAAGGGGCTGTCCTGAGCCAGGTCAGGGTCTTCCTCTGAATAGCAGCAGGCGGGCCGGGGCGCTTCCCAGGCTGGCAGGCTCCCTGGGGCATGAACTGGTCCCAGGAGGCCCAGGGCAGGGTTTTGAATCAGGCACACCTGGGGGCAGCCTGCTGGCGTTTAGGTCTGGCTGGTCAGGTCACTCCTCTCACCCGAGGAGCACAGCTCAGGAACACAGCCATGAGGCCTTGGCCAGGGGCTGGGGCTGGGGCGCCTCTGGCCACAGCTCCCTGTGAAGCCTCAGGCTGGAGTGAGGAAGGATCCCAGGCCTGGGCAGGTGGGGGGAGAGAGGGGGGCGGGGGATACTCCATCCTGGGTCTGCAAGGCATAGGGAGGCTACCTGGCTGGTGAGGGAGGAGATGCCGGGCAGGCAGCGGGGCTCAGCCTAGGGAACTGGCTCTCTGGCAGCTGCCGCTCCCCTACAGAGCAGCCTCGGGAACAGGGACCCCTGGCCACCTCCCTGTCTCCCCTCCAAGAGTTGCGGGTAGAAAATTCTAGGTCACTACCTACGAATCTTCTCAGAATGGCCATTAGATCCTTTAAGAATCATTTAAAAACTTGCCTGGATAAAAAAAAAAAAAAGTGAATCGTTTGGAAGGTAGGGAAGTTATTCATGGCCGAAAATATTTAAGCTTTTATTTTTTTCTTACTTTCTTTGTTTTTTAATTAGTCCATACATCCCTGGATGTTTTTTGACCCCCTGGCGTGCAGGGCTGCCGGCTGGGTGGGTCCTGGGTGGGTTGGGGGGCTCCCTCCCAGCGCCGGGGCAGCACCCCCGCGGCCAGCTCGGGGTGCTCAGGAGGTGCTCTGTGCTCGCAGGCGGGCGACTTCACCAACCACAACGGCACCGGGGGAAAGTCCATCTATGGAAGCCGCTTTCCTGATGAGAACTTCACGCTGAAGCACGTGGGGCCAGGTGAGCGGGCCTGCGGTTCCCCGGTCCGGACGCCCTGAGCTCTGGGCCGGCGTTTGCAGCCTGATGACTGATTTCCCAGAACCCGGTGATGCCCCTTCCCTCCTTCTACCCTCCTGGTCGGGGTGTTGGTTCTCCTGGAGCTTTTTCATGCCAAAATAGAAATAAGCCTTCCTTGGAGAAGCTGCTAAAGAACGCCTTTGAGCAAAAGCCAGTGTCGGGTCACATTTAAGACCCAAGGTGCAGTACGCAGAAGCGTGGAGGTCGGGGTGCATAAGTCCCGTTCCAGCCTCCACTGTGGAGCACAGGGGACGGGCCCTGGGGAGCTGTCGAGCGCTGGGCCCTGCTTGTCCTCGCCAGACTCCAGGACCTCAGACCCAGCCGTCCCTGCCACGGCGTGAATGACTTCCCAGGCAGGAGGCGCCTCCTGGCGCAGCGTGGCTCACTCCTGCTTGTTTTTGCAGGTGTCCTGTCCATGGCAAATGCAGGCCCCAACACCAACGGCTCCCAGTTCTTCATCTGCACCGTGAAGACGGACTGGTGAGTCCCCACGCCTGGCTCCAGGCCCTCTGGGAAGGAGGAGGATGCAGCTGGAGGAGGGTTGATGTGCTTCCGGGGGAAGGTGGTGTGAGACCGGACCGTGCTCTGGGACAGAGGCCCTCACCCGGGCTGTGTGTCCGTCCGTATGGGAGAAGGACGAAGTGCATAAAAGGAATGAGGGAGGATTCGGGTCGTTCTTAGAACCGTGTCTTTTAGGTCTCTATTGCTGCGCGTGCACATGCACACACGCGCGGGCTTTTACCAAATACATCTGGGACAGACTGCAGAGCTTCTCAGGCCTCAGGGTGGCCTGTGGTGAAAGCTTGTTTGCTTGCTTTAACATGTTGTTCTGGCCTTGAGCTTGGAGCACACCTCTGGCCCACACGCCTGTGGATTTTAGGGATGTCTTCCCTGGCACATTTCCTGTTACCTCGTAAGTTCGTCTGTCCAAAGTCCCCTGTGTCCTAACCCTGAGGCACATGGGGTTGAGGGGACAATAGTTGACCAAGAGATAAGACTTAATAAAGTCCATTTCCTAGGACTCCAGGGAGACCTGAGTGGCAGATGGATACTAGCTGTCGCTGACCCCAAGCCAGGAGGGACACGGGTGTCAGGGCAGGTCGTTGCTGGCTCTGGCCTGCTCTGGGCTCCTTCTGTGGAACCCCTGATAGATCCTGCGGTTCTGCCCTTGGCTGGATCCAGAGTTGGCCTTGCTGGCACCAGACTAGGCTGCTTTTGGGTTCTTGGAACTCTCTCAGATTGGAACTTGTGATCTTGGCTCTCACCTTGCCACGCATGACCACGAAGACGGTTCCATTTACACGTACCTCTTGTTTCTTGAGAGTAGCTTGATATCCTGTGATCTCCGTGTGCAGAACAAGAATAATTCACTTTTCATAGATGAGGTTACCAGGATCCAGGTTAAGTGGCCCGGGGCAAGGTCACATGGCATGTGAGACAGAATGTGCCCTGGAAGGGAGGGATCCCCTGGGGCATTTTTGGGGAGCTCAGCGAGGCTTGATGCCGGAGCTTTGGGGGTGGGTCCAGATTTTCAGTGTGGATCCCTGTCAGAGTTGCTAAATAGTTAGCTAAATTGATGAATAGTTCCATGACCGAGGGACCATGATGACGTTGGTGGACACTGCACTACTCTTATTCGTACTTGACTCACCTCACAGGTTGGATGGCAAGCATGTTGTGTTTGGCCACGTCAAAGAGGGCATGGACGTCGTGAAGAAAATAGAATCTTTTGGTTCCCGGAGTGGGAAGACGTCCAAGAAGATCATTATCACAGACTGTGGCCAACTGAGCTAACCTGCCCCGGCCAGGGCGCTAGGCTGGTTGCAGCTGCGTTGGTGTTGAATCACCTGGACGGCCACCTCAGGCCCCAGCAAAGGTGCCCCGTCAAGTTGCCTGTTCTACCATCAGTGTGTCTTTGAGGAAGGCCTCTCTAGGATGTCACATCTCCACAGGGCCCAGCAAACTGCCTCCCATGTCCACCCTTCCTCACACCCCATTTCAAGACACTGGTCGTGAACACGATGTCACCGCTCCTCATCAGGCCTTCTCCGTGACTCCCCAGCCCCAGTTCACCTGTGCCTCTCATCAGGCCTTCTCCGTGACCCCCCCAGTCCAAGTAGTACACCTGTGCCTTGGACGTTGGAAGCAGCGATGGCTTAGCTTCAGGGACAGGTTCCTGCCTTTTCCTCGGCCGGGGCCAGGAAAGCCAGCCGCTGTAAACAGGCCATTATAGTTGTTCAGTGGTACCTTCGAATCAGAATAATTTAATGCACGAGGTTGCCCCGAGATGAAGCTGTGACATTAACTACCCTGTGCCGTCGTATGACCTCAGTTGGCAGCAGAAGCCATGGGAACCCAGAGCTTGGCCTTCGGAACATTATCGGGGCTTTTGTGAAGGGTCCTCAGCCCTGGCGTTTTCTCCCAGCCTCTGTGAATCCCACTGGTTTGCTGCTATGGTTTTTGAGGGGTGGAGAAGCAGACAAACCTGGGAATAAACCCACTGCAAGCTGTGCCTAGTTGGTGAAGTTGTGAAAAATGGAAATGGCCCGCACATGCCGGGGGCTCTGGAGGAAAGTAATTGTGTATTTTCGGAAGGGCTTTGATTTATCTGTGTTTAATGTACTGATTATGTATATAATTCACTTTTGGGACATTTGTGTTCACTTGAAATGTGAAAATAAATCCTATTTTCTATAGAAGACTGTGTGGTGTCTGGTGGTCTTAGGAAGCAGTGTTTATAACTCCAGGATTTGGAGCCAACTTTTATTTATTTATTTTTAAGATTTTATTTATTCGTGAGAGACATACAGAGAAAGAGAGAGGGACACAGGGAGAGGGAGAAGCAGGTTCCCTGCAGGGAACCTGACGCGGGATTCAATCCCGAGTCCCCAGGATCACGCTCTGGGCTGAAGGTGGCGCTAAACCGCTGAGCCACCCGGGCTGCCCTGGAGCCAACTTTTACTGGCGTTACTACACATGGGTCTGGGGCTCTGCTGAGGGTTTTTACCCGGATGATCTCACGTAATCAGTCCAACCAAGAATGTACTGTTGTCATCCTCATAGACGAGATGGGCTCAGACAAAGGATCTTAGAACCCACAGCCTGTCAGTGAGCACTGGCTCCCCACCCCATCCCCTGAATCACAGCTCCCCGTCCTAGTGACCCCGAGTCTGTTTTGGGAGCTGGCTCACAGAGTGGGGAGAGGCAGATGCGATCCATGTAAAGGGCACAGCGTGGGGCCTGGCTCGTCATTTTAGTATACACTCCGGAGTCCTAGGGCTGATGACATCTCCCATGTGTCAGAGTCTTAGACGAGCATCTGTGATCATCTCCAGTTAGGTGTGGACTTGACTCTCCTAGATTTGCCACTCACATTGGGGATTCTAGATGATTCTGAGTCAACAGGGAAGGCAGATTGGAGTGGGAGAGCGGGATTCAGAACTGAAATGGCCAGAGATGGCAGTTTGAATAATAGAATAATCACGTTCTTTTTTTTTTTAAATCACATTCTATTCACAATACGAATGGAATTATTTCACCTTGGGATTCCCAGAGTCTAATGATGTGTGCTGCCTGTCATTCTGAGGTCACAGTGGCCACAGTTGGGTCATTTGGAGGCTTTCTATGATGTCAGTCTCCAGAGTTTAGCTGCATGGGCAGGGAGCTCAGCTAGCTTAACAGTTTTCTTAAGAAAGTCTTAAGAGATGATGCCTGGGTGCCTCAGCGGTTGAGCGTCTGCGCTCGGCCCAGGGCATGATCCTGGAGTCCTGGGATCGAATCCCACATCAGGCTCCCTATAGGGAGCCTGCTTTTCCCTCTGCCTGTGTCTCTGCCTCTCATGAATAAATAAATAAAATCTTAAAAATTCTTAAGAGCCGTAGGGGTTCACAGAACAAGGGGGAGACAAGGGACATGGGCCCCCAACCCCTATTTTCAATCAGATACCCTCTTTTTTTCTTGTTGGGGCTCTATAAGGGGTCTCATGTGAAGAATGGGATCTTGAGCCCAACGGTAATCATGATAATGGTGATAATAATTGGTGATTACTCATCCAGTCCAGTGTTTTACAGATGGGTGAACTAAGGCCTCGAGTGGGGTCACGATGCCCCAGGTGACCCTGTGAGTCAGTTGGCAGAGCAGAGGCTAGAACTCGGATGCACCGATCCAGAGGGCTCCCAGTCAGGGGCCTCTCCCAGTGCACGGGCCCCTTGGTCCTCAGACCCCCACATCCAGAACTCTAAAAACAGGGTTTCCTGAAGATGAGGCCACTCGCTCCACTGGCCAGCTCCCTTCTAAGCACCCAGCTCAAGGGCCTGGGCCTGATCTTACTGGATAAAGTAGGAGCCTGAGACGCAGATAAGAGGGTGACTTGCTGGCACATGGCACCTGGTGCCTGAATGAAGACGTGAGTCATCCACGTGCTCTCAGATGTAGTCATGTGACACATGGAAGCACAATGTGTTTAAATGTCTGCAATATCATTTTCCTGAGACAACACATGATAAACTTTTCAAAATGACTTCACCGAGTATGACGTGCATATAACAAAAGTCATGCATTTTAAGTGTACCCCTCGGTCACTTCTGATAAATTCACACACCAAGTGAAGTTATACAATATTCCCATCTCTCCAGAAAGCCACCCCCATGTGCCTTCCCAGGCCACCACCACTGCATCCTGTCACTGTAGATGACTCTTGCCTGTTCTAGGACTTGGTATATGTGGAGTCATGCAAGATTTGCTTGCTGTGCCTGACTTCTTTCATGGAGCGTGTGTGAGAACAGAGGAGAATTTAACCCCCTTCTGGGCTCTAGCATGTTGCTCCATGAAAAGGAATGTCTGTAAATGTTTCCCAGGTCCGATGAGGCCGGAAGCAATGCTTCTAGGAATCCTGGGGTGCCGGCAAAGCATGCAGAGTCCTGGGCCATACCTGAGACCTATTGGATATAAAACTCTATGGGGAGGATCTAGGAATCTGAATTTTAAAATAGTAATTCTGAAGGTTGAGAATTTGAGCATAGGCCTGCAGGAGCAAGGGGGTAAGACTCAAAAGGAAACCACTAGACCACTTTAGTGTCATTGGTTACTTCTGGAATGCTTTTTGGTGGAAGCTCTGGGAATCTGGAGCAAGCCCTCTACCTATAAAGAGCTCTTGGATGGTGACGGGGAGCGGCCAGTTCAGTCCAAGCTTTGTCGGCT